GAGGAGGAGGAGGAGGAGGAGGAAGAAGAAGAAGAAGAAGAAGAAGAAGAAGAAGAAGAAGAAGAAGAAGAAGAAGAAGAAGAAGAAGAAGAAATAATAATAATAATAATAATAATAATAATAATAATAATAATAATAATAATAATAATAATAATAATAATAATGTCCACCCTCCAGGGTTAACTTTGCATTGAAACAAGATCTAAAGTATAGACTAGTTATCTATTGTTACATAAGGCCAAGGAAACCTGAGATTACATCAGAAGAAAAGTAAATATCTAAGGAATATGCAATTGTGTTTTTATGCAAGTATCTGACCCAGAAGATGGGAGGTGGCTGTTTGCTTTTCTCTTGATTGTTTATTCTCAAAGAACGAATCCTGCGTAATCGCCTAGCAAAAATATTACAGGACAAGAAAACTGAAAAAACATCCCACTCTATTACAAGGCTGGGCCATGTTCGAGTTGACTGCCTCTTTCCATTTACTCATCCTTCTTGCTTCTTTTCTATTCTTTCCTCAAGTTCCAACTCAAAGGACAGACAACATGTCCAAAAGCAAAAAAACGGAGCCTTCTTGGGTATCTCCCCTTAAATAAATGCCAGAAAATTAATGGGAGAAGCCAGGATATTTAACCAAACAAGACTTAAGGGCAAAGACTACCCATACTTTATCCTGGCATAATTCAATAATTCATAATTCATCAATCAGAATAGCAATGAAAGAGACCTTGGAGGTCTTCTAGTCCAACCCCCTGCTCAACCACGAGACCCTATACCTTTTCAGACAGGTGCTGGCTGGCCAGTCTCTTAAAAACCTTCAGGGATGAAGCCCCTACAATGGGGGGTCTTCAAACTTGACAGCTTGAAGACTTGTGGACTTCAGCTCCCAGAATTCCTGAGCTAACATGACTGGAGGAGGAATTCTGGGAGTGGAAGTCCCCAAGTCTTCAAGCTGTCAAGTTGCCGTACAACTTCTGGTGGTAAGCTGTTCCACTGGTTAATTGTCCTCACTGTTAGGAAGTTTCTCCTTAATTCTAGCTTGCTTCTCTCTTGGATTGGGTTCCATCCAGTGTTTCTTTTCTTGCCTTTTGGTGCTTTGAAAAATAAGTTGACCCTCTCGTTTTTGGGACAGCCCCTCAAGTACTGGAATACTACTATCATGTACCACCCTAAGCCTTTTTTTTCCCCTCTAGACTGGCCATCCTCAATTCCTGCAACCGCTCTTCATACCGTTCAAGCTAAACCATCTTAGTTGCTTTTTAGTTGTTTCTAATTTTTAGGATCTTTGGATGCAGAGCTGGGCTCGGTCCCCAAGCACAGAGAAGGGCAGGGTCGTGGGAGAATCGCCTAAAAGAGCCACGGTCCCCGATCCCAGGGCCCGCAAGAGCCTGTCCAGCGACTCTGGCCAAGGGTTCGAGGCCAGGGGCGTTCCCGGCTCGCCTCCCTCCTTCGCCGCATGCTGGCTGCCTTCTCAGGCCGGCCGGCCAACCTGCTTCACCTGCCCCAATCAAGAGCCGCAGCGGCGGAGGAGTGGCTGGGGGGGGGGGCGGCAAGGAAGGGGGCCCCCCTCCCCCCCGCAAGGCCCGGCGGGGGAGGGGGGGGGGGGGGCTTCAAGTCGGGGTCCCGCGGGTGTCGCCCACCGGAAGGCAATACAGGATTGGCAGCCCAGCCCTCTTCATACCGCGCCAGGGCTGGCGGGGGAGAAAGGTCGTTTCCAAGTATAAAGTGTCCTAAAAGCCCAGGTGCGCTCAGCTACTGCAGTTTTGCAAAGGAGCGGTACTCGCCTATCGTGTGAATGCGGTGATCCGGGGCTCTTCCAAACAACCCTGCCTTGCACACAACCAGCAACCCCCCCCCCCCCCCCCCGCGGAAAACCTGTCCCCCACACTCCAAACCCCCCCCCCCCCCCCCCAAAAAAAAAACCCCAGAGCCCCATCCCTAAGGATAAGATGCCCAGCCAACCAGCCACCTACCTTCCGCAGCTCCTTCTCGATCTCGCCCGCTTTCAGCACGATGGGCCCCCGCACCGCGTACTCCACCGCCTTGACCTGCGGGTTCATGGATTCCAACGTGAGGATCTTCTCGCGAGGCGCCTTCTCTTTCAGCTGCAGCGCGGGGGCTTCGGCGGCGGCGCTGCTCCAGCCAGCCAGGCCGAACCCCGGATCCAGCCGGGCTGGCCGCCGCTCCGTCCCCATCGGAGGCTGGGCGACGCTGCGCGGGGCATTGAGCGGCCGTCGGTGGCGCGGCTCTTTGCCGGTGGCCAGCCAGGCGAGGAAGCGCACGGCCTCGGCTCGGCGCTCGGGGAGGCGAGGGGGAGTGGCGGCGACAGCAGCGGCGGCGGCGGCTTCCCTGCTCAGCCCCGACAAGCGATGCATGGTGCCTTTCAGGAAAAAAAGGAGACGAAGAAAAGGAGAAGGTTACGAGCCAGTCCCGAGGCTGTTACTCAGTTGGGGTCTTGAAACGTCTTGCAGGCAATCCAGCCGAGCTCAGAAAGCACCGAGGGCTCCTCGTTTCTTGCTGACGGCCGGGAGTTCGATCCTGACCGGCTCCAGGTGGACTCAGCCTTCCATCCTTCCCAGCTGGGTAAAATGAGGACCCAGATTGCTGGGGGCGGGGGGGGGGGGGCAAGAGGCTGGCTGGCTACCGCTTGGATAGAGAGGGCTCTAAAGCACTGTGAAGCTGTAGATAAGTCTGTAGATAAGTAGATAAGTAGATAAGTGCTATTTTCCTTCCTTCTTTCCTCCCTCCCTTTCTCCCTTCCTTCCTTCCTGGTACAATGGTTAGAGTGCAGTATTGCAGGCTCTGCCCACAGCCAGCAGTTCAATCCCGACTGGCTCCAAGGTGGACTCAGCCTTCCATCCTTCCGAAGTGGGTAAAATGAAGACCCAGATTGTTGAGGGGGGGACGGGACATAGGCTGACTCTCTAAACCCGCTTACAGAAAACAGTAGAGCAACATGGAGCGGGTGTATAAGTCTAAGGGCTATTGCTATTTGAACGCCAGCTTCAAAGGTTCTCCTTTAGCTGAGAAGATTAAATCGGGGATGGGGAGGTGGGGAGGAGAAGCCACCCTCCCCTCTTCCCCTACCACCCCCCCCCCCCCCCCAGCGCCGCAAAGGCGCTCTCCCCCCCACATCTCACCCGCACCAGCGTCCTGAGAGAAGCAGAGAAGATCTCCGCTTGCAAAAGCGGACAAGCAGAGCTAAGCAAGCGTACGCCCGAATGGCTCCGATGCTTCTTCCAGCCTCGGCCCCTCAGCATGCAAAAAAAAAGGGGGGGGGGCAGAGGCGGCGCTGGCTGGACTTGCGCCCCACGGAGCTCTCCAATGAGCGACCGGCCTGGCTGCCTTTGCAAACGACTCAGCGGCGAAAGCCGGCTCTGGAGGGGGGAAAAAAAGCCCATTGGGCGCCCGCACCACCACGCCTGCTGGACGCGGAACCGCCCAAGCGGGCGGGCCCTCTTCCCACAGCTGGCCGTGGAGGATTGCACCAGCCGAAGATGCGCTGCCTGGTGGGGCTTGTAGTTCCCCGGGGCCGCCGTTGCAGAGGAGGGGGGAGAGGAAACTACATCTCCCGGAATGCTCCCCGAGCAAAGATGACGCGTGTCTTCGCTCTGGGGTGGGTATGGGTGTGTGTGTGTGTGTGCGCGCGCGCGCGTGTGCAAGCGGGAAAGAGCAGGCGGGGCGTTCCTCTCCTCCCCCCAAAGCCACCCCTCCAAACGGAGCCAGACATTGAATGAAAATTGCAAAAAAACAAAACAAAACAAAACCAAACCCAAAGGCGGTTTTGCACGTGGAAACAGGTTCCCCGAACGTTGCAAGACTCCCCCAGCAGCAAATGCCGCGAGTGCAACCGTTAGTGGAAGAGAATGAGTTAGGTGGAAACGCTGCAGAAAGAAAACACGGTGGGGGTGTGAGACTCCGGACTTTGCGGGGATTTTGGAGTTGCGATCCTTCGCAAGTTTTCATAGGGCGTCGTCGGCCGCGGTGGAGACCCCAGCGGAATTGAGTCGCAAAAGTTATCAGCTAAGGTTTTTTTTTGCAGCCCCTGATGGGGAAAAGGATGGATGATTCAGTGTTTTCTGCAGAATGGAGACGGTTGGGGTAATTTGGCAAACTTCGGTTCTGTTGACCACAACTAGATACATTGTGCAAGCCTAGCTTCGTTGACAAATAAGGAAGAATTAAGGGACTGCCTGAGTTGTCCCCAAGGATGAAGGAACAGCTTTCAGGGATATATACAAATGAATAGATTCCTTTGAGTCTCAGTGTTTTTCCACTGAACCCACCAACTTTCTCGTGGAAAATAACCAACTTGATCAAATGATCAATTTAGGTATGGTTCATCTCAGTGGCTCTGTTTTCACAAATCCAGGATTAACTTACCCGGTTATTAGACTGACTCTGTTTTCTGGCTTCATCTGACATTAAACCATAAACTAGCCATATTTGACAGGAGAAGCTAAGCTGAAATGTGGCCCTCCAGTCTAGTTGGTGGCTCAAGGGGTGATTTATTGCAAACAAAAGCAAATAAAGCACTACTTAAAAGATAAACTAAGGTTAGTGTTTGCAAAACACGTTGTTGTTTCGCTGGGTGAGTGATGCATTATTCCAGCAAAGGAATGTATTTGTGTGTGTGCACACGTACACACGGTAGAGGCTTTGCTCAAGGAAAACGTAAACAAAAGTGTGTGAGACATTAAAATGTGTTTCACTGTTTCTATGAAATTGTGTGGCTATTAGTGTGTCAAGGGAGGAAACAAAAAGGAGGAAGAAGGCCTACTTTTCATAACTATTAACCATAATCAGTAAAACTACAACATGATTCACGTTTGAACCCAAATGACACATTATGTCATCCATGCTTCAATATCAGATGATATCTGAACCCAAAACATCAAGAATTTTCATTCCATTCTTTTTATCCCAATAGCTTTTACTTATTTATTGATTTAGACTTTGTTACTTATTGAATATGTTGTTACACAGGCTCCCTTGTAACCATCTCTAAGGTTATTAAAAATGAAACGACAAAACTGTAACAATAAAATACAATACGTTAAAAGTATACAGTGGCTCTGTTAAAAAGGGAAGGGAGAATAAAAACAAGAGTATCTCATTCAAACACAGGAAGATCTGTGGCACCGTTGCTTTTTCTTTTTTCTTGTGACATGAATGCAAAGCCCAGTCACATCCGCCAGCAGCATGATGTGACTGCAAAAAAAAATAGAAATGTTTAAGTTGCATCAACAAAAAGGTCATTTCCAGGAAGGAATTTTCTTGTTTTGATCAGGCCCCACTTCAGTTCCTGTGTTCGGATGCTTTTGGGATTCCTATGGCTTTAAAGCAAATATTGAAAAATCATTATGCAGCAAAAGGAGAAAAACATATCTTAAGTCCTGAGAAGGGAAGTAGTATTCAGAAGAGATTCAGGCTGCTCCTCGGATCCTGTGGTGTTTGAAAAGAAGGAAAAGAGTATATATAATGTGTGAATAAGACTTGGTTCCCACATCACATTAGGATTTTCTTTTTTTTTTCACACAATCAAGCTGCAACATTTGATTTGATCTCAAGATAGTTCTTATCTTGGGAATTGATTTCCTGATTTGGTCTATCCAGACAACTGACTCTTATGGCCTAAAATTCAAATCCTGGAATTGGATCCTGCATTTTACTTGTATTATTTTTATATGGTTGTAAGACTAATCAAGTAATCAACTATAACCAATCTACGATCTAAATGGCCTCAAATTCTGAAATCTGACTCTGTAATTAGAATACAGGCCAAAATTACAGGAAGTGACCAGAAAATTATCACCGATCAAATATTTACCATGATGGCTGTTGGAGTTCAGAGAAATACCCTGTTCATTGTTAATACTAAGCATGGTTAAGCCCCAGACGTCACACTCGGAGAAAATAATCAAAGCTAGCATTTGGTGTCATATGCCTATCAGGGCATAGTTCAAAGACAATTATCGCAAAACTCAGAAGCCCCACGTTCAAAGTACAACAATGTGCGCCCAACTGTGTAGTCGGTATTTGGTTGATGACCAACATAGTTTCCCAAACACACACAAAAAAACCCAACATATGCATCGTTTAGCTTTGACTTTACCTGTTAGATTAATCTGGTTGTGTTTACTTGTCCCCATAGTGCAGAAGATGAATCTAACTGATTTTGCTTTGCCCAGGAAATTGTCTTTAAGTGGAAAAAATGAAAACCCTAGTGTGATGTTGGAACCAATATACTAAACCAGAAAGAGGTTGACCATGGTCAGTGGCTGCCAACCAGTGGACCGGGAACCACTGGTGGTCCGCAAGAAAATGTTGGTGGTCTGCAGAGAAATGTCACCCACAAAGCACACCACAAAGCAATTAATCCAGGCTGTGTGAGAACACAAGGCTGCACCACCCACATGGCCTGTGGGAACACAAGGCTTGCATCACTTGCATTGTGAACAACACGAGGTAGTGAGGGGAGGGGGAAAGGGAGGAGGGGGAACCACGCCTGGCCTGGCCACCGGGCTGTTTCTTTCCACTTCTTTCTTCTTCTGCTTTTGGCTGCACACAAGGAAAGCAGCAAAGGTCTTTCTTTCTCTCCCCCAAACTCTGCCAGAAATGAATCTTTGGGACCCTGCAAGGCCTCCTGCTCCAAGAGGCTGTGGCGGTGTGACAAGTCTCACAAAGACTCATTTCTGGAGGAGTTTGGGGAAGAGAAAGAAAGACTTCTGCTGCTTTCCTTGCATGAAGCCAAAAGTTTCTCCCCCCCGACTTGCGGAGAACAGAGTTGGAGATCCTGCGATCCTGGTATCCTGTGATCCCAGAATGATCGATTGGTAGGAAAATGGGGTGGGGAATTTTTCTGCAGACTTTTTTTTGGATTTTCCCAGGGACCCTGGTCCATGGGATTTAAAATTATGAGTTTGGTGGTCCCTGAGGTCCAAAAGGTTGGCGAACTCTGGTTTAGATTAAGGTACAACCCCAAAAATATAATAGGAAATATTGGTGATGCATTTATAATATTCCAGTTTGTCTGAATATATATATTTTTCATTTTATATTTTCATGTATGTTGTAGAATATATTTCTGTTGGCTCAGTGAAACAAAGCTTAAAATAGAAACCTTTGTTGATCCAGAAACCAAATGTTGTTAATTAAGCTAAGAGTTTGGTAACAATTTGTTATTTTTCCATTTGTAATATATATATTGGGCTCCTTATTTCATTTTGTTTTATACATTTCTTCCCTTGGAAAATACAGTTATGTATATTGTTGTAGCTCGCATGCTTAAACAATAATCCATCCGAGGTTCGCTTAATGTTTTTTAAAATGTCAGGCTCACATTCCTAAGATCACAAACAAGCTCAGTCAGGCTTTTTATATTATTCTTTTTTATGGAACTAAATACCCATTTTTCATGTTTGTACAATTTAGCTCAATGTTTTTGGCAACCGTTCCAGTTAAAACAAAGGTAGTGTTTTTATGAACAGCACGCAAAGAAAATATTCAGACGGCATGTGTTGTAACTTGCATCTAGTTAGGCCCAACGGAAGAGAAGCTGTATAGGGGATACGCTTTATCTCACACACACACAGTTTAATTATGCCAGTAATTGGATTTACCATTGCTAAATCAATGATTATAGATCATCAAGTTAGAGCTAACAATTAGCAATTTAGCCATGATGGTTGCTAGGCTGACTCTCTTTTCTGGATTCATCTAAACCACAAATTAACCATATGTACAGGAGAAGTTGGGCTAAAACATCCTTTAGTATGTGGCTTGCCAGCTTGTGATTTATTGCAGCAAACACATAGAATTTTGCACTGCTCAAAGATAAACTTGTGTTAGTGTTTGCTTCCCCAATTTAATCTTCCAATGGTGAACCCGTAAACAAGCCCATTCATCTTGTGCCAGTTGGCTTCTCCCATTTCCTTCCACCTTTCTCAGGATTATAGACGTCTTGAGAGGACTGTATCTTTGTATAAATGTGTCCAAGATAGGATAACCTGGGCCTGGTTGTTCCCCATTGCCTTTGTTTGTCAGAAGGTCACAAAAGGTGATCATATGACCCCAAGCAGCGCAGCCATAAATACATGCCAGTTGCCAAGCATCCGAATTTTGGTCATGTGACCACTGGGATGCAATGGTTGAAAGTGTGAAAAATGGTCATAACTCACTTTTCTCAGTGCTGTTGTAACTTTGAACAGTCACTAAATAAACTAGCTGTATCTTCATTGGCATCTTTAAGGCTGGTGGCTATACGGGACCTGTTTTCATTAGTTTTTCCCCACTAAGCTCAGAGATGAATTGTAAAAATGAAACAAAGCGTAGAATTCCAAAATTGAGAGTAGCTCTAATAATCAATTGAGTAGCCTTCATGTTACTGATGTTGATAGGAGCTATAACTGAACATAACTGCTAGATTAAAGACTGATGTAGCAAGTAATTCTATTATTGGACAGCATTAGAAACAACTGTTATAAAGCTTATGCCTTCTTAGTCTAAGCATTTCTTTGTCATTCCTGCAACATTGGTTTTATCTTTTATTGAGAAAACTATATTTAAAATATATGGAGGGAAGGAGAGAATCAATCAAATGACAATGTTGATCCAGAATTTTTCAACAATAAAGAAGACCCGTGGAAGGTATTCTAATGCATAAGACAGAAAGTTAAAATGACACCCTATTTGCATAAACCCAGAATGATTTATGATTCACTGGCCTTGTTTGCTGAAATCCATGTTAATTGACAATTACTGGTAGCTTCTAAAACTAGTTTTCAGACATCCGTGGATAGAGTTGGAAGTGATGTAATATTATTACCATGTCTGTGAACTGGCCAAAACAATATCTATTATGAAATGAATATAAGGAGATTTATGGAGAGCAAAGGAAAAAATTAAAGTGAAAGGTTACGTTCCTGTTAAGCATAAATCATTAGTATTGTAAAACAGCAACAGAGTAATAGATTGATTGTTCCCAAAGGATATGAATGGATCTATGGATCTATTTGGGGGGGGGGGGGAATTCTAATTTGATTTATAGGATTTTTCTTTAATGTGTATGCAATTAATCATAGGAAAATCACATTAGTGTTGTAAGAAATGCATTAACTGGGACTAAGAGGAAAGAAGTATAACCTCCATGTATTTATTCTTGGCGTATTCATTGTAAATATTTCTGCCTCTGTTTTTTGTGGTTTGGTAGCATGTTAATTCTGCATGGATTGGGAGTTCGTATTTGATAAACATAATTAATATTTTCAAATTCAGTTATGATTTGTTACAGTTTTTTACTTCTGCCCTAAAGTTTTCGGCAACCTGTGGATTTCCTTCATTTTTGCTGATTACACCATGCATTTTATAAAGCAGCTGGAAAAAGTTAATATGTAAAAGTTACTGTCCTTGAGTAACGCTGTACTAGTTTTCACAGAATTGAAACTGTGGAGGAATAGACTTGTAGGAAACTTGTAGGAATAGACTCTTCGCCATTAAGGACTTTGGGAAACAAAACTGAACTCTTGAAACACACAGCATCCGCATGGATGAAGAACTGTGGGGAATGGTGCACAGAAAGGCAAGATTAAACTTGCTTTCACAGACATTTTTTTCCTTTGGAATGTTCTGCTCATTTCAATGAGGCAATTCATATATGTGAACATCCACCCACATCATTTGATGGGGTGAATTAATGTGCTAAGTATTCTAGCTTAGGGTTATAACAACAAACGTAGGGCAAAATGATGGATGAGCTTATATGTGAAATCTATGTTTATATTTATAATTGCCTCTTTATAACTGCCTATCTTTGGAGTTATTGATAAATTCATAAAGTAAAATGCCTTCTTCAGGTTTTAGTTGTTGCTATCTTTTGTTCTGTACTGACCCTCATGGGAATATTTGCAAGATGTGGTCAAAAAAATCAAGATGGTAACCATCATGGTTTAATTGAAGTTCTGCCCACATGCAAGATTCATAAAAAAACAAGTGGAGCTTCCATTTCAGGTACTATCCCGACTTTTAAATCGCATCCTGGAGACATCCCTACAATCTTATAGGCATTTATTGGCCAACATTTTGTCTTGATGTTGGTGCTAATGTTTGAAGCCAAGCCGTCCAGCATTGCTTTGGATAATGAGATGGGAGGTATTTAAATTTAGTATTGCTTTTTAAAGAAAAGAGTATTGTAGGACTGAGCAAGATGTCAACCCAGTTAACTTGAGATATTTATGAATAGAATAGAATAGAATTCTTTGTTGGCCAAGTGTGATTGGACACACAAGGAATTTGTCTTGGTGCAAATGCTCTCAATGTACATAGAAGAAAAGATACATTCGTCAAGAATCATCAGGTACAACACTTAATCTAGACATCTAGGAATCTAGAAAGGAAAGAAGGAAGCAAAGTCATCCCTTTCTCTGCTCATCATCTTTTCCATAGATCTGGACAGCTAGGAAGTGTGGTTCTCTTGTAATGCAAAATTTAGTAACTGGTATGGAGCAAACATGAAAAGCAGTATTTTTCTGCAGCTCGATCCAACTCAACTTTGGAGATAGCTCTTTTTTCAAATTAAAGCTTGATTCACCACCATTAGTAGGAGATACTCGTTTTCCCTTTCTTCTTTTGAGTATTCAGACAAAATGATTTTTCATGTGGAAGATTTATTATAAGAGACTTGAAGTTTGCCAACTCTAACTTGTAGGTGAATTGGCTGGAACTAAATCGATAAATAAAAATTATATATATTTTTTAAACTAAAGAAAGATTTGCACAATGTCTTTCCTACAGACCTAGTAAGGAGCAGGTTAAGTCTATTGACAGGAACCAAAATGGTCTCTTCTGCTATGATGTCTTTTCCCTTCCATGTTACTTGGGTCATATGAATCTTGAGAAAAATGTTCCCACATTGCTTTTAACAGGGTTTGTTAAAAAGTTTTGCATTGCACAACATTTTTAGCTTGCTTCCACTACTGATGTTGGCAGTAGCTGGTTTTCATGCAATTAGCATGCCTGCAAAACCATTTGGCTTGGTTGGTTTAGGATTCCTTGCCCTGAAAATCCCAGATAAAGATTCATTCTTGACCCAAGTGCAGCATGTTGTATGAATACTCTACTTCTAACCGGGGCATGGGGAGCTTTGCTGAAAAACAGGGCTGCTCAGTCTAAGCGACTTGAAGATAGATGGACTTCAATTCCCAGAATTCCTCACCTAGCATGGCTGCCTAGGGAATTCTGGGAATTGAAGTCCACCCACCTTTCCAGCACCACTGACTCTTAGGACATTGATTCATCTTTTTCTTCACTGCTCTCAGGAATTAAAATGTGATGAATTTTGTCTATGATAACAGTAACTGGGCACCAGCATTCTCGAGATACAACGACTGGAACCTATTTTATTTTTATTTTGAGAAATTATTAGAGAATTTATGGCGGCGCCCTTTCAGTTTTCCCTCCTGAGGAGAATTTTTTTTTCCTTCTCCTTCCCCCTTCTTAAACGTTACTGGGGCAACTAGCCAGCCCCGCCCCTTTCCCGGCGTCCGTATCCCTTCAGCCAATCCCGGCGCTTACAAAAAAAAAAAAGTCTTTAAACCACGCCCCGGATTCGCTCGCGGACGAGAGGGGTGCGGCTTGGCTTTCCCCAACGGTTTCGGGTTTCTGTTCCGGCCTTTGAAGAAGGAAAAAAAAAAAAACCCGACCCCGAGGCGGCGTCACGTACGCATGCGCGGCCCGTTCGTAGACGGAGGGAGTCGTGTGTGCTTTGTGGGGAGGGGAGAAATTTAAGAAAGGAGACGCTGATCAGAAGTCAAGGAGGGGGGCGCTCGCGAGCGGTCGCTTCCTATTGGCTGTGGCGGGCGCGAGGGCCGCGTTCCAGGGGAGGTGGGCGGGGCGGGCGAGCTCACGCGCGCTCCGCCGTTGCTCTTCGGCCGCAGTCGGCGCGCCGCCACAGAGCTGGGCGGAAGCATGTCTGCCGGCCGGGCCAAAAAAGTGAAGATGGCTACCAAATCGTGCCCCGAGTGCGACCAGCAGGTGAGAGCCTCACCGCCGTCCCTGTTTCAGGGCGGCTGGCTGCCCTGCCGCTGCCCTTTTCCCCTCTCCCTGCGGCTTGGTCCACCCTCCTGCCCGGGATAGCACACCTGTCCCATAGAGGTGTGCTGCCCGCGTGGTCTGCCCAGGTGCTGTGGGGAGGGCAAGGATGCCCTCTTCTTTGCACCCTACCCTGGGTGCTTCTGGCTCGGGTCCCAGCTGGGAATCCTCTCCCCAAAGCACTTTATTTTAACCTGTCCTTTTGCAAATGCTGCCCATAATAGGTAAATAGTTGGGAGCTTGCAAAGCCCAGCCAGGTTAGGCACAAGGCTGTAAATCAGATTTTTTTTTTCCCCATTCTTCTTCTCAGCCTGATGTTCCGCAAAAAGATTAGCCCTTCCTGGCCCTGGCTTGTTCTGCAAAAAGATTAGCCCGCCCTGGCCCCTGGCCCTGGTGGGCACAGGGTTGGAGAAGCTGCAAATCAATTGCTCTGGTTTTCCAGCCTTGCAATATTTTACAAAGAATTTGGGAGGGTGGGGGGGATAAATTCTGGATAAAGGCCTCGATGATGATCCCTGGAGGTGTGATCTGGAAAAGGGAAAAGAGTCTGGGTGACATTAATTCTCCTTATGCTGTAAAATGAGGACTTGCTTCCTAGGGAAATTATTTGCATGCTGATTCAGAATTTGCCAATTGCATGCAGATTTGCATACAGGGCAAGAATTAGAAAATGGCTAGAATAGCTGACCGTACAGTTTTAGTTGAGCTAAGGGCACGTACTCTGAAATATAGATGGTTTTAATCTTTGCCGTTATTACCATGCTTCCTGTAAATGCTTTCCTGCCCCCACCCATGTTTTGTGGTATTAATAAGCTTTAGAGCCGTTACCATCCGTTGGACAAAAATATGTCAGTTTTACAGTTATCAGCCTGCTGTTAGTGAATGTGTTGATCTGGGCGGGAAATCCCTTTTGTTTGTACTGGTTTATGCAGATAAGTTATCTTTTGGTTTTCCAGTTAGAGGCTGTTTAACTTAAAAGCTTATATATATTTTAATCTGTGATCTACATAAAGCAAACTCAGATTTTGTTTGTTGTGAAACAATGCAGAAAAGCTTTCTGAGGAAATGAGAGTGCTGGAAAAATGGTTATAACGAATGAACTTTTGTTTGAGTAGAGCAGTTTGGTGTCATCGGTAAGGCATCTAGCTACAAGCCAATGGGCACAGAGCCAGTTGGGTGACCTTAAGCCAGTCACTCTCTCTCAGCCCTAGGAAAGAGGCAATGACAAACCACCTCTAAAAATCATGCCAAAAAAAATGGCAAGAGACTTTTTCCAGCTGGTCCCCAGGAATCAATACAAAAATATCTCTTTGAAAGTCTGTTTATTTTAGGTTTAAAATGATACAGTTCTTTATTTTGGTAAAAAAATAATGTTTATTAAACTTGGGAAAATATGTAGCTAACCTAGTAGAGTTTGACATTTTATTTTTATTTAAAAATATAATACAGTACAGCTTCAGTTGAAGAGTATGATTTGGAAGGGAACTTACACGCATTATATTCTTTAGTTCTGTTTCCTCTTGGCAGAGTACTTCAGTAAATAAGCCTGGATACTGCTGTGAGAGTGTTCAACTGTTTTTTTCCCCTGTCTTTAATGATTTTCCATAACAAGAGAAAAAAGATAGGCAAAATGTTGTAAGAATTCAGGATAGTTTTATGTGGCAGATGATGCAATATCTAGGCTAACATAAAATTCTGAGAACAAGGCTGTGCAAGCATAATAGAGGTAGTTCTAGACTTACAACCACAGTTGAGCCCAAAATTCTGTTGCAAAGTGAGTCATTGAAGTGAATTTTGTCCCATTTTATGACCTTTCTTGCTACAGTTGTTAAGTGAATTGGTTGTTAAGTGAGTCTGGCTTCCCCATTGACTTTGCTTGTCAGAAGGTTGCAAAAGTTGATCACATGACCCCCCCAGGACACCTCAAGGGTCATAAGTATGAATCAGTTGTCAAACAGCTGAATTTTGATCATGTGACCATGGGGATGCTGCAGAGGTTGTAAGTATGGAAAATGGTCATAAGTCACTTTTTCCAGTGCCATTGTAACTTTGAACGGTCATACTAAATGAACTATAGTAAGTTGAGGACCTGTAGAAGCTTCCTTTAGAAGCATCTTAGGTCTGTGCATGTTAATGGGACTGCATGATTGCAACATTTCTTTCTTAAATACCAGGCGGTTGCCAGCAATTTGCAATGTAAATCCCTTTGCTTGTTTCAAGCTGCCTCACAGAGGTTGAATTTGAGTTGGTTAGTTTCAGTGGTTTGTGCCTTTTACTGGTTGTGTTATGTTTGTTTTGATATCCATGAGGTATTTGCTAAAAGCTAAACCATCTTAAGCTCTTTCAGCTTCAGACTTTATCTAACAAAAAAGTTTATTTTGGTATGTAAAGTATTTCTACAGCGGAAGAATTTCCTGCAAGTTGGATGCTTTGTGGGAAATTACTGTTCCTGGCCAGCCTGGAAATTCTAATTGTGAAATATTTGAAGGAAATTTAGGTTGAGGGTGATATAAAAAGCAAGAAATCTACCCTCGTGTTCAAAAACTTGTACGTTTAAGTAAGGAAATCCAAACCATGTCCTATTGTATGTGCTCACATGTTTACACATTTACAAAGATAGCACACAAAACAACAGAGGCTGTATTGTGAACTTGTTTGCAGTGGTAAGGGTAAAGTGGGTTTGTTTTTGGTTTTTTGTGGCTTTAGGCACAACTGATCTGGTGTAACTTTTCAACGTTAGGCACTTTTCTACTGTACCATTCAGAAATTTGGGCTTTGATTGCTGATGTGGTATTTCATTGCCCCCAAGATCTCCGTTTTTTGCTTACCCCCCCATGAGAGGCAGTTTTGCAGTTTAATTTATTTTGCAAGGCTCATGCCTCGAAAATGTTTATTTCTCATTCTGATGATATTTGAACTTGAAACCTGATCCAGTCAGGCACACTGAAACACTTCCCCCCTGTTAGGGAAGATATTTTGAGTTTCCTAGTTGAAAAAAAAACCCGAAAAGAGCTTGATATATATGGGAGGGAGAAGCTTTTTTTCCCTGTGATAATGCTATCATGTGAGGAAATCCAATAAAGCTGAGTGCTTGAGAGACTCAGGCTAAATAAAGAAATGTATTTCATGGTAGGCTGTAGCTTTTATTTCCCCAAAGATGGGTACCTACTGCAGCTTTAACAGGGAATCAGAATAAAGCTAAGTGGTTACCACTTACCCTATGACTAACAACTCTTTACCTTCAACTTCCTGACTCGCCCACCTCCATCCTTCAGTGATGATTAACAGCAGTGAAAAGGTCATTTTTCCTTTAAGATCTCCCAATGCCAGACTGGGGGAAAAAAATTACACACACATATTAAATGTGCATATAATTGTGTATTTTAAAACTGCTTCTACTTTTTTTTTTTTTTACATTCCTGCCAGGTTGCTGCTTAATCCTACAACAGTGTGGTTGCTGAGTTGTGTTAATGGCCTAATGAAGGGCTAAAAAACAGCACTGAGGAATCTAAAGGGCGCCTTAAGATGAGGTGGAGATTATTGCTGTAATGTGCAATTTTTATTCTACATGCAGTTTCATTTCTGCATTGGCGTCATCATCGTTGGCTAAGACTGAAGCTGTTTTTATCCCTGTGTCCTTTTAACAATTAGTAATAACTGTGCAATGTGTAACATTCCCTTTAAAAAGTACCCTTATCTCTCTCCCCCTCATTTGCTTAATGTTAATTGGCATTTTTCAAAACATATAAAAATATGTCATATCCGTCTGTTCTTTTCTTTAAAAAAAATTACAGTTGAATAATACTTTATTAGAACCATTTGACATGTCCTCCCCAAAAAATATTTTGGGGGTTTTCAGATGCAGGATGTAAAGCAAAATGAAATCAGGAAAAAAACAGGCCAATAATAATAATAATAATCCAGGCCAGTCAGAAGAACTACATCAGTCAACGATTTAAGGTGGAGTCATCAAAGAGAAGATTGCTGTTTTAGTTTACTCTCCTAACTGGTACCCAGGGTTCAAGTGATACCTAATGGTGACTTGGTCCAACTAAGTTGGATAAGCAAAAATCAAAACCACGTGAAGGCTTATTAATAAATAGCTTGGGTGAATTCCACCAGAGTTCAGAAAAATTGGAAGCGTGCTCATTATATTGTGGCGCATGAGCCGCAGTGGTTAGAATGGAGTACTGCAAGGCTACTTCCGCTGACCACCGGCTGCCTGAAATTTGGCAGTTCGAATCTCACCAGGTTGAAGGTTGACTCAGCCTTCCATCCTTCCGAGGTGGGTAAAATGAGGACCCAGATTGTTGGGGGCAAGAAGCCGACTCTGTAAACCACTTAGAAAGGGCCAGTGGTGGGATTCAAATAATTGAAGAGCTGTAAAGCACTGTGAAGCAGTATATAAGGGCTATTGCTACTACATAGTTCTCTGTTTCTTCATGATAAAAATGCATCACCTTGTTAGCTTTATTTATTTATTTTGCAAACTTCCTCAAATACAGGAAGTCCTCGACTTACAACAGTTCATTCAGTGACTTTTCAAAGTTACAACGGCACTGGAAAAAAAGGGACTTGGGGCTATTTTTCACACTTAGGCCCATGGCAGCATCCCCATCGCCATGTGATTTGCACTTGGATGCTTGACGCTTCATACTGGTGATGGTTGCAGTGTCCCAATGCCATGCCATCCCCCTTTGCAACCTTACAACAAGCAAAGTCAATGGGGAAGCCAAATGTCAACTCGTAAAATATCTCTATGGTCTTTTTAGAGTTGCCAACAGAAAGGGGCGGGGGAAGGGGTTTGAAAGCAGTGTGGCAGCTTGGAAATTGAAAGTGCATCCCATAAATAGCTTTTCAAAGATGGTAACTAGGCGATTGAAGTTTCTGCCATGCAAAAATCTAACTGGAGAGCATGATTGATGACTCTTGGCTATGGATGTGTCCCATTGGAGAATATGAATTACAATACACCCAGGGGGTAGTGGGAAAACTAGGGTCAAGGGTGACAATGAATTATGTGTCTCAGAGTCGGCTATACCCAGGTAGTGCCAACATGTTAACTCCCAATAAATCCTTTTGAAGTTTTGGAAGTTTCTGCCAGCGCAAAAATCTAATTGGAGAACATGATTGGTGACTCTTGGCTATGGATGTTGGAGAATCTGAATTACGATACACCCAGAGGGGTGGGGGAAAACAAGGATCAATGATGATAGTGAATTGCGTATCTCGGAGTCGGCTACGCCCAGGTCATGCCGACAGGTTAACTCCCAATAAATCCTGTGCAATTTTGGAAGTTTGGTTCGAGACTCATGATTTAATTGGGGTAACTGCCGGAATCCTGACACCAGATTCATTTAATGATCGAGCAACTAACTGAACAGCCGCAGTGATTCACTTAGCAAAACAGGGCCAGAAAAGTCACAAAATGGAGCAAACCTCACCCAGGGAATGTTTCACTTAGCAACATAAATGTTGGGCTCGATTGTGGTCGTAAGTGGAAGACCCTCGGTATACTCGATTCAGGGTATGAAAATACTGCAACACCTGAAGGTCCATCCCAGAGCCCATCACCCTCCCCAGGCCAGAACAACCACTTAACTCGGAAAAAACGTATTTTCATCAAGGAACGAGAAGCTTTGGAAGAAGAAGCCTGCCCTTGATCAATTTAAGTTGTGGGGTTTTTGGAGAGGATGTGAAGTTGCAGTGACTGACAAGGCCGTACTTTGCACTAACCTTCAAGGTGGTGATGCACAAAGCAAGATTCCCATTCTCACCAAAATTGGAGAGCTTTGTGTT